GACATTATCTTCATCTGTTGACTAGTCTTGAGTGATTCTCTGAGTTGCCCCTTTGAGGTGAAAAGATTCTAGGAATCTTATGCCTCCCCCATCCCCAGTGTAAATCAAAGTAACATTTGTCCTTACATATACTAAGGCCAGAATACAAGACCTTGCCAGGACACTTATCTAGGTCTGAGTCAAGATGCTACTGACAGTAACAAAGACAGACATTTCATTTCTCAAAGTATACTGTGCTGGGTGCTCTAACAAGGCACTCAGTGGAAGTTGTTTCTCCTCCCTTCCAAGTCTCGGTGCAGGCTTCATAGAGCACCGTAATGGCTTACTGAAATAAGTTGAAATTCATTCAATGAAAGATGGTCTATGCTTCTCATGGATCACTTATCAGGTGTGAATATTAATGTGTCTGTCTTTTTCTTTTCCTAGTAGACTTTTTTAACTTTAAGAGAATTTTAAGAGAAAATTTAATCAGAAAATACAGAGGCTTCCCACATAATCCCTCTGCCTTGACAAGGTTTTTCCTATATTTTATATCTTGTATTGTTGTAATACCCTTGTTCCATTTGTTGAACCAACTTTGATGCATGAAAGTCCTTATTTTACAATTAAGGTTGACGCTGTGTCATATAGTCTCAGGTCTTTAGCTAATGTGAAATAATGATGTGTCTCCATCATTTCTGTATCATATAGAATACTTTCACTCTTCTGAAAATCTCCTATTCCCTACCTCATCATTCCTCCCTCCCTCCCTCCCACCCCATATCCTGGTAACCAGAGATCTTTTAATGACTTTTAATTTTCTCTTTTCTGAAATGTCATTCCCTTGGAATCATTCAGTGTGTAGCCTTGTCATATGGTTTTCCTGCACTTAGAAATATGACTTAAGGGGCGTCTGGGTGGCTCAGTCGGTTAAGCGTCCAGCTTCAGCCCAGGTCATGATCTCACAGTTCGTGGGTTTGAGCCTCACATCGGGCTCTGTGCTAACAGAACAGAGCCTGGAGCCTGCTTCAGAGTCTGTGTCTCCCTCTCTGCCCCTCCCCTGCTCACGCTCTGTCTCTGTCTCTGTCTCTCTCTCAAAACTGAATAAACTTAAAAAAAAAAAAAAAGAAATATGATTTAAAATTTTCCTCATGTCTTTTGGCTTGATGAGCTCATTTCTTTCATCACTGAAGAAGATTTCATCCTGTGCATGCACCAGTGATATTTTCTATCAGTTCACCTATTGAAATTATCTTGGTTCCATGTAAGTCATGACAAGTATGCATAAAGCTCCTATAAACATTTACATGTAGGGTTTTTATGAACCTAAGTTTTCAGCTCCTTTATGTATATTTGAAATGTATAATTGCTACATAGTCTGGTAAATGTGGCCTTAGTGTTAAGAAATTGCCTTTCTTCCAAAGTAGGTATATCATTTTCTGTTTCCACCAGCAATGAATGAGGTCACCTGTTGCTTTCCATTTTTCCAATTGTTTGGTGTTCTAAGTGTTTTGTTTTTTTTTAATGTTTATTTATTTTTGAGACAGAGAGAGACAGAGCATGAACGGGGGAGGGTCAGAGAGAGAGGGAGACAGAATCCGAAGCAGGCTCCAGGCTCTGAGCCGTCAGCACAGAGCCCGACGCGGGGTTCAACTCACGGAACGTGAGATCATGACCTGAGCCGAAGTTGGATGCTCAACCGACTGAGCCACCCAGGGGCCCCAGCTCTAAGTGTTTTTAATGTTAGTGTTTGATGCCAGTCCCTTATCAGATAAGTGACTTCCAAAGATTTTCTGCCAGATTATTGCTTGTGTTTTCATTCTGTTAACTTGTTTCACTAAGTAGCTTTTCATTGTAATGAAGTCCAAGGTATTTTCTTCTTTCTTAAATCTTGCTTTTTTTTTCTTTTTTAAATAATCTCTACACCCAACACGAGGCTCAAACTCACTACCCTGAGATCAAGAGTTGCATACTCCACCGACTAAGCCAGCCAGGTGCCCCTGCTCTTGTTTTCTTAAAAATTAATCACCAAATACTACATCACCAGGATTTTCTATCTTAATCTTTTAGGAGTGTTAAAATTCTACAATATACCCTAAAATCTGTGATCAAATTTGAGTTAATTTTTGTGAAAGGTGTACAGTTTGTAGATTTGTTTTTTTGTATGCACATGTCCAGTTTTTTTTGACATTATTTGTTGAAAAGACTGTTTCCCATGGAGTTAACTTTGGTTCTTTGTCAAAGATGTGTTCACTGTATTTGTGTAGATCTACAGAAAAGCAGTTGCCTTTTCTATACTAACTTTTTATCTTTTAGTTTTTCTCTTCTCAGTTCATGGGGTTTTCTTTGTTATTTGGAATTTTTTGACATTTTCTCAATTGACAATCTTGTCATATGACACAAAGACAGTTTTATTTCTTGCTTCTCCAAACGTATGCCTATTATTTTTTGTTATTTACCTTTTATTCCCCTTGTCTGAATGCATTAGCTAAGAATTCCAGTACAAGATTGTCTAAGTGTAGTGAGAGAGGACATTCTTGCCTTTGTTCTGAGGTTACCGGAAAGCATGTAGTTCTTTTAAGGTGGTACACTTATATATATATTTTTTTTAATTTTTTTTAATGTTTATTTATTTTTGAGACAGAGACAGAGCATGAATGGGGGAGGGTCAGAGAGAGAGACACAGAATCCGAAACAGGCTCCAGGCTCTGAGCTGTCAGCACAGAGCCCGATGCGGGGCTCGAACTCACGGACTGCGAGATCATGACCTGAGCCAAAGTCGGACGCTCAACCGACTGAGCCACCCAGGCGCCCCGGTGGTACACTTATATTAAACAAGATCCCAGTTGATGTAGAGGCACATGGGGTCAGTGGGGAAACATTCTCTTACCTCAGGGATTTGCTCTCAGTCTTTCAGTGAGCCTTTGTCCCTGGGCTTGACTTACTGTGATACAATGAAAAAGATGTGTGGTAAGTGTCCTCGGTTCCTAGCAAAAGCTCTTGAAGCCCTTGAGATTACTTGAGTGTTAATGGTGAAAGAATGTGTGTGTTTTTACATTTTTTTCTAATGTTTATTTTTGAGAGAGAGATAGACAGTGTGTGAGCCACGAAGGGGCACAGAGAGAGAGAAACACAGAATCCAACTCAGGCTCCAGGCTCTGAGCTGTCAGCACAGAGCCCGACACAGGGCTCGAACCCACAAACTGTGAGGTCATGACCTGAGCCGAAGTCTGGCGCTCAACTGACTGAGCCACCCAGGCGCCCCAGAATGTGTTTCGTTTAGTGAGGTTTTATGGTGGGGTTTTGGACACCTGAAATAGCCAACTTTGATTAAAACTTTAGAAAGTTGGGCTGCGGGTCCCAGCTTCTGGGTATAAGATAGGGGCTAGAGGCTGAGTTAATTACCAGTGTCCAGTGATTTAATAAATTGAATCCATGTAATGAAACCTCCATCAAAATTCTTAAAGACAGGATTCTGACGGTTTCTGTGTTGGTGAATCAATCCAGGTGCTGGAAGGTTGGCATGTCCATAGTGGGGGTGGGTGCTTTGGATGCCCCACCCCCCATCTCCGTTCCCCTTACCATTGCCTTAACTTGTCCTATGTATTGCGCCTTTTGCCTGTTCCTTATTTGTATGATTTATAGTAAACTGGTAATGGTAAATAAAGCATTTTGCTAAGCTCCTCAAAATCATTTCAGTAAATTACCAAACAGGGCAGAGTGTGGAGGGAATCTGTGAATTTGTAGCTTCCTGTAGAAATAGTAAACTGGGCTCCTCATTTATAGCTTGTATCTCAAATAGGGGCAGTGTGTGGGACTGCTTTTTAAACGATGAGTCTGACTTAAACTCTGGGTAGTTTGTGTTAGAATTGGACACCTTTTTAGTGACATAGAATTGGAGAAGTGGCTTTGGAACAGGTACCACATATTTGGTATCAGGAGTGAGAGAACCCTATCATCTGCCCCACCTTTGGAGCAGAAAGGAAAGAAATACCTTTGTCCCCCCCCGGTCACTTAGGCTCTGGGAGTCATATGGAACTTCTTATAAATTGAGTATAGGTCTTCAGGGGTCTGTCTCATCCATCCTATGCACATATATGGGATTATTTAGGACTCGGTGGCCTTTGAGGATGTGACTGTGAAGTTCACCATGGAGGAGTGGGCCCTCCTGGATCCATCCCAGAAGAAACTCTACAGAGATGTGATGCAGGAAACCTTCAGGAACCTGGCCTCAATAGGTAGGGACGACGACATTTCTTGCTTACTAAGTCAATTAGAGATCCAGTGTAACTTGCTCCTCAGTGCTATTTTAAGGGAAAAAATGGAAAGGGAATGTTTTGTTAATAAACCTGCCATGATCATAACTTATCATGGACCTAGAATCTAGCAATTCTATAAATTTTTATAATTTATAATGCTTTTTCCTAGTATGTATTTCAGAAGAAAAATGGGAAGTCTGTGACAGAGAAGATCAGGATGAGAATCATGGGACACATCTAATGTGAGTAGCATTCACGTGGGAAAACAAGAGAATCTAGAGATGTGATGAAATTTTATTTTTAAGTTTTATTTATTTACATGATCGCTACACCCAGTGTGGGGCTCGAACTCGTGACCCCAAGATCAGGAGTCAGATGCTCTACCAACTAAGCCAGCCCAGTGCCCCCGTAAAATTTTAAAACCAAACAAATAAATTAGCCTGGATTTATTTAAATCCATTGATCCATAGGCTATTTTCATCAGTAGTTTTTTCCCACATGTGGCCGAGATGTACAGGTTTCGAAAGATGGTACGCCTGGAAACAGCGTATAGAAATACCATTTATGAGTATTACTGTTTTGATAACAGCTAAGGTGGAGCCCTGTTGCAGAGCTTTTGGTATGTTCGCTTTCAAACAATCAAAATCTGCAGAAAACCTACATTTTCCTTGATGGTAACAAGTCACTGTCATAGTTATTAATAAACATAAGCTCATTAATCAAGCTATTGGTAATATGCTTCTCGTTTTTTACAGCAGTCAAATGGTAGGAAGACTCTGTAAATGTAAAGAATGTAGCCAGTATGAAGGAATCTTCGGCCAGATTCCAAATCAGAATCCGAAGAAGAGAACTCCTACTGGAATAAAACTAGGTAAATGGCCTTTGTGCGGACAGGTGTTCATGCATCCTTCATCTTTGAACAAGCACCTGAGATCTCACGCTGGACACAAACTATATGAGTATCAAGAAGGTGAAGAGAAGCCTTATAAATGCAGGCGTTGTGGGAAATCCTTCAGGCATCGCCAATCCATTCGAATGCATGAAAGGTCGCACGCTGGACAGAGACCCTATGAATGCAAGCACTGTGGGAAAGCTTTCATTTGTCGCAATTACTTTCAAATTCATCAAAGGGCACACAGTGGGGAAAAGCCCTACAAATGTACAGAATGCGGTAAAACCTTTAGTTATTCAAGTAACTTACGTAAACACGAAAGGACTCATATCGGAGAGAAATCTAGTGAATGTAAGCAATGTGGTAAAGCTTTCAGTTGTGTCAGGTCCTTTCGAATACACGAAAGGATACACAGTGCAAAAAAGCCCAAGGAATGTACAAAATGTGGTAAAACCTTCAGTTACTCAAGTAATTTACATAAGCATGAGAGAAGTCATAATGGGGAGAAACTCTATGAACGTAAAGAAGGTGGGAGAGCCTTGCATTCTCTCACCAAATTTCGAAGACCCGTGATCAAGCACAATGGAGATGGGCTTTATAAATGTAAGGAGTGTGGGAAAGCCTTCAGGTGTCCCAAAAACTGTCGTAGTCATGAAATGACACACAGTGGAGTAAAGCCGTATGAATGTAAGGAATGTGGTAAAGCTTTCAGCTCTCCCAGGTCCCTTGGAAAACACAGAAGAATTCATACTGCCACGAAGCCTCACGAATGTAAGGAATGTGGTAAGGCTTTTCGTTATCCCAGTTCCCTTCGAAATCATGAAAGAACTCATACGGGGGAGAAACCTTATAAGTGTAAGGAATGTGGGAAAGCTTTTAGTTGTCCCAATTATTTTCGAATTCATGAAAGAACTCACACTGGAGTAAAACCATATGAATGTAAGCAGTGTGGAAGAGCTTTCAGTTGTCCCCAGTCCTTTCGGATACACGAAAAGACGCATAGCGCAGAAAAGCCCTATGAATGTGCAGAATGTGGTAAAGTCTTCAGGTACTCCAGTAACTTACGCAAACATGAGAGATCTCATACTGATGATAAACGCTACGAATGTAAACTATGTGGTAAGGCCTTCAGCAGTCACTATTATGTTCAAAAACATGAACGAACTCACACTGGAGAAAAGCCCTATGAATGTAAGGAATGTGGGAAAGGCTTCATTTTTCGCTCAGGTGTTCGATCGCACATGGTAATCCACACTGGAGATGGGCCTTATAAATGTAAGAAATGTAAAAAAGCATTTATTTCTCCCAGTTCGTTACGAACACATGAAAGAACTCACACTGGAGAGAAACCTTATCAATGTAAAACTTGTAGTAAAACCTTCAGTCTTACAAATTCTTTACGAAATCATGAAAGAACTCATACATGAGAGAAATGTATGTGGTAAAGCTTTTTCCTATTTTCCTATGAACATAAGGAATGTGAGAATGCAAAAGATTTGTTGCATAATCTCTCATGGACACGTAAGAATGCACACTGGAGAGGAATTGTAGAAATGTACAGAACGCAAGAAAGCCTTCAGTTGTCCTGTTTCCTTCAGAACTTACCAAAAGTCACAGTGGAGAGAATTCTATTGGTAATAAACAATGTGGGAAACCTTCACTTGCCCGCCATCACTAAACATCTCATTCCCCAGATTCATCCTGTATAACTAAAAAATAAAAACTTTGTAATTTTTGCAGATATTTTCAAGGTGGTATGAAAGTTATATGGGAAAGAAATCATACTCAAGTGATATGGGTAAGCTCTTTGAACCTTCATGTATAATACTTCTGAAAATTCACAACATGAAAGAAATGTTATAATCGTTATACTGTATGGTCTTTATCAAGGATTCATTCTCTTGAGAGAGAGCATGCGCCCATGTGGTGGGGGAGGGGCAGAGGGAGAGGGAGAGAGAATTTTAAGGAGGCTACATGCCCAGCGTGGATGGATGTGGGGGTCGATCTCACAACCATGAGGTCATGACCTGAGTCAAAATCAAGTTGGATGCTTAACTAACTGAGCCACTCAGGCGCCCAAAGGATTCATTTGTAAAGTGATTCTCTGCACTGTGGATTTCTACTTACCTTTGAAAGCAGATATTGAAGTGAGATAATTAAGTAGGTACTCTTTAAGCAAGAGTTCCTAAGTTTAGTAAGTAATTTTTTTCCCGAGTAATATTATTGTGTTCTTTTTTTTTTTTTTAATTTTTTTTTTCAACGTTTATTTATTTTTGGGACAGAGAGAGACAGAGCATGAACGGGGGAGGGGCAGAGAGAGAGGGAGACACAGAATCGGAAACAGGCTCCAGGCTCCGAGCCATCAGCCCAGAGCCCGACACGGGGCTCGAACTCCCGGACCGCGAGATCGTGACCTGGCTGAAGTCGGACGCTCAACCGACTGCGCCACCCAGGCGCCCCTAATATTATTGTGTTCTTATTTTGAAGTCTGTTGGATCCATGGGTTATTGAAGTGTATTTCTAATATGCAAATAGGTTTAATTTTTATATGATTTTTAAGTTCTGTAAGGAGAGGAACATTGAAAAATAACACTTTCTTCCTTTCCCTAGAGTCCTCCTGTGGGGCATGTACTCAATATGCTTTAGCATATTATAGAAATAATTTTCTATATTCTACATTTCTTTATTAACACAGAGTTCCCCTTTCATTGACCCAAAGAGCTTCTTTCTGTTTTCCTTACCAACTTTCCTTTCCTTTCCTTTCCTTACCACCTTACCATATAGTTGTCAATATGCAAAGTTCATCATACAGTCTCGTGAATTTGTCATCGCTTGTGGCTGGGATTTGGAGTATAGAGTTACATTAAGAATAAAGGTCTGTGTGAGGTAGGACAATAATAAATCTAGAGTTGGAGATGACCCCTCCTTGATGCTGTTAATGTCAAAGTCAGTAATGTGAAGTATGTTTTCCAGTATCTGTTGCATTTATGTATCCGTGTTAGAATTCACTAACGCCTAACCTACATGAAACTTGGAACACAGAAGTGAAATAGGATTAGGCACGTTTTTCAGCCACCTGTATAGACGCAGGTGGAAGCATAGGGCTTCATGGACACCTGCTTCCAGCCTGTTTTCCTCATTCTTTTTTTTTTTTTCCCCTGAGAATCAAGAATAATCTCAAAACCACCACCAAGTGCTTGACTTCCATTTGATCCCAGCAGTAGGCTTCTACAGTTGTGTCCAAAGTTCTACATCAGAGACCCGGCAGGGGTTAAAATTTCCAGCAAGCTCTCAGGTATCCACAAATTTAGGCTGTCGTGGTTGAGAATGTTCTCTGAAGTGCCACCCCCTTCTTTCCTACATTTTACTCATATAAGGTCTAATATGTATAGTAAACACCCTTTTCTGTTAATACCATGGTTGACTGTGTGTGTGTGTTTCCCCTGTGACAGCTGTAGTGGGCCAGTCCGGCAAAACTACATGGCCTTTGGCAGTGACTGCTGAGGGCCAGTCCTTCCGTGTGAGAATCAGCACCTTCCTCCTATCAGGCAGATTCTTTCTGGGTGTTTCACGTAATTCATAGTTGAGCATAATCCCTCGATATATTGTTAGTCATCTTGGTATGTGATTGAAAATGTGTGCATTTCTTTGATGAATTCATTTATAGTTTTTTCTTAGAAATACTTGGTTAATTTTAACAGGCACTTGTATGCTAATATGTGGTATGATGCTGAGAGGATATATTGAAATGTCTTATTGTTTATTTAAAGAAACTTTGTTTTTAATTTATTTTGAGAGAGAAACAGAGCATGAGTGGGGGAGGGGCAGAGAGAGAGGGAGACACCGAATCTGAAACAGGCCTCAGGCTCTCGGCTCTCAGCACAGAGCCCCACGTGGGCTCAACCCACGAACCACGAGATCGTGACCTGAGCCGAAGTCAGACGCTTAACTGAGCCCCCCAGGCTCAGTTAATTTTCTTCACTTAATCGTTATATATTATAAGTCAATATTATTGAGGCGCCTGGGTGGCTCAGTCGGTTAGGTGTCCAACTACGGCCCAGGTCATGATCTCACAGTTCATGAGCTCGAGCCCCGCGTCGGGCTCTGTGCTGACAGCTCAGAGCCTGGAGCCTGCTTCGGATTCTGTGTCTCCCTCTCTCTCTGCCCCTCCCCTGCTCATGCTCGCACTCTGTCTCTGTCAAAAATAAATTAAAAAAAAAATTTTTTTTTAAGTCAGTATTATTGTGTGCATATAAATTTGAGTATTTTTTTCCTTAGGAAAATATTTAAAAATTCTTTTATACTTAGAATTTTTGTGATAAAACTAGTTTTTCATTTGTTCATAAAACCACAAACTTACGTCGTTTTCAGTTGCATTTTGCCCAAGACCACTAGTATCGCATCTATAGTCAAAGACAAGAGTATGTGAAATCTAGAAATAAGTATGACCATAAGCCATAAATAACCGTGCTGTGTAACAACAGTATCAGCACATTTGATTAAAAGGAATTCTCATTGGAATTTGACTTGTGGTAGATTATTTGATTGCTGTTTAAGAAAGGAAGACGTTTTTCTGTATTGGGGCTTTGAGAGAATGAACTTAATTCAATCATAAATAATCACAGTAATTCTTACATAGAAGGCAGAAAGAATGGCTTGATGGTAAACCTAATTTGTAAGAAGCAGAAATGATATTAGTGAATAGAAGGTCATTTTGGTTATTTCTTTGGGATCTGTTCTCTATTGTCATGTTAGGGATTTGGTTATAGAATACTTTTGTTTTATCTTGATCGAAAATGGTTACAAGGTATCTGTGTCTGATGATGGACATATGAGATACTTTTCAACGGTCTAGGCCTTGCATGGAGTACTAGGCCAGCTCTCAGTCATCTGGAACACCTACCTTTCTTGTTATTTAAATACTGAAATATTCCCTACAGTGTATTGGACACTTCCATAAACTACCTCACTTAAAGTATATATATTTCAAATCACATACTCTTTAGCAAAATATGTAAGACTTATTATTTCTTTTAGGAGTAATGCTTACAAATTTAGGGAAATTGTCGAAGAACACAAACTCCAAAAGTGACAGTCAAGATCCCTCTTCCAGTGAAGCCCTTCTTTTTTTTTTTCTAATGTTTATTCATTTTTGAGAGACAGGGCGTGAGCCGGGGAGGTGCAGAGAGAGAGAGAGGGAGATTCAGAATCCGAAGCAGGCTCCAGGCGCTGAGCTGTCAGCACAGAGCCCGACGTGGGGCTCGAACCCACGAACCGTAAGATCATGACCTGAGCCGAAGTCAGATGCCTAACCGAGCCACCCAGGCGCCCCTCAGTGAAGCCCTTCTTGCTCAGAGACAATGCTCTTGATGTTCATTTTTCAACACTATGTCAGGAAGTGTAGGCTGAAAGTACAATTTAGCACAAATATTTAAGCCACTCTGGGCCATAGGTAACATAGGCATGAAAGAAACAAGTTCCTATGTTCTCGGTGCTTATGTTTTTGTGAGACAAGAAGATGGTTAGCTGAGAAAGCTTTGGTTTTTAATTAGAAAATAAGTGTTCCAGGGGCGCCTGGGTGGCGCAGTCGGTTGAGCGTCCGACTTCAGCCAGGTCACGATCTCGCGTCCGTGAGTTCGAGCCCCGCGTCGGGCTCTGGGCTGATGGCTCAGAGCCTGGAGCCTGTTTCCGATTCTGTGTCTCCCTCTCTCTCTGACCCTCCCCCGTTCATGCTCTGTCTCTCTCTGTTCCAAAAAAATAAATAAACGTTAAAAAAAAAAAAATTTAAAAAAAAGAAAATAAGTTGTGAAGGAAAAGAAATGAAGGCCCCTGACAAGAAGGTAGGGAGTGGGTTGTATGTCTTCTCTATGGAGGGCAGGGGCCACAATGAGTGAGAATGTGATCGTTTAACCACCATCTAACACACCCTAAATATGGAGCAGCTGCTGGTGTGTGGATGGAAGTAATGGCCAATAACACCAGAAGTCCCGCACTCCTGGGATGAAGGGCAGGGGTTCCCCACACAGGAAAGATCTAGACCAGTTTCATCTTTGTTTTGGCCCTGGCTATAAGTTGTAGGGCATGTGCTTTTTAATCATGAGCACACTCATGGGTGTTGGGACGTGAGACTGACCGTTATGTTTATGTTTATTTACGTTTCTATTTGACATCAGATGAAAGGAATTGAAACTCCCTTAATGATTTGGCACGTATTTTTCTGGCTGATCAGACTGAGTGGCACACTTTGCCCCATGCCAAGTTCCAGTCTGAGGAGGTTCTGTCATCTGCGGGGCTATAGCCCATCATGAGTTTTCCTGTGAGTAGAGTGATAGGGGAACTGTATCATTTCATTGCTTTTTGTTTAGTTTTTATTTATTTTTTTAACATTCATTCATTTTTGAGAGACAGAGATCGAGCGTGAATAAGGGAGTGGGGGAGAGAGAGAGAGAGAGAGAGAGACAGAGGGAGACACAGAATCCGAAGCAGGCTCCAGGCTCTGAGCTGTCAGCACAGAGCCCAGCGTGGGGCTGGAACCCACAAACTGCGAGATCATGACCTAAGCTGAAGTCGAACGCTTAACCCACTGAACCATCTAGGCACCCCTCGTTGTTAAAGTTTACTTAAAGTAATCTCTACACCCAACATGGGGCTCAAACTCACAACCCTGAGATCAAGAGTCGCTTGTTCTTCTGACTCGGCCACCCAAGTGCCTTGAGCTGTATCATTTTAAGTAGCATCCCAAGGTAGTGGCAAAGGAGGTATATTTGACCTCCTCAAAGTGGGGATTTTCTGTGCCTTTTTATAAAGATAGTATCTTGATGGTTTTTGTTTAAGGGTGTACAAGGCCACTTTCGTTATTGTCACGGATCACTTCTGTCTGTTTACACTTCCAGGAGATACCATGGAAGACCAGGTAAAAAGCGTCAGCTTTTCTTTCATAAAACAGCTAAGGAAATCCGTATCTGGTTTCTTTTTTCTTCGGTGGCAATTTGTTTTCTTAGTATTGTAGGGATGATGTAATTTTATTAGTAGTCCTACCTCATTTGATCTCTGACCTCATTATTCCTTCCATCACACAAGCAGGGGATCTTACTCCAATTCACATAGCTCATAATAGTGGAATCTCTCCGTTTTGAAGGCATACTACGTGCCCTGGGCAGTGTCAGAAGCTTTAAACTCAAGAGAGCACGGCAAAGTTTATACGATTGTGCACTTTTACAAATGTGCCCTCAGAGTCCTTTCAACAGGACTCATCAGGTAACATGGCATTCCACATGTTCCAGAAAAAGCAAAAGTGTGGGAACCTAAAACAGATCGGTGGGTAAGGGGTCAGTCCAAACAGGCACCACAGATTGTTCTTTGGGGATGATGGAGTATTCTCCATCTTGTGAGTGTCACAACTATACATTTATGAAAATACACAACTACTCAAATTGTATGTGTATATACTAAAAGTAATTCATAGAAAACAGTACAAATGGGGGCGCCTGGGTGGCGCAGTCGGTTAAAGCGTCCGACTTCAGCCGGGTCACGATCTCGCGGTCCGGGAGTTCGAGCCCCGCGTCAGGCTCTGGGCTGATGGCTCGGAGCCTGGAGCCTGTTTCCGATTCTGTGTCTCCCTCTCTCTCTGCCCCTCCCCCGTTCATGCTCTGTCTCTCTCTGTCCCAAAAATAAATAAACGTTGAAAAAAAAAAAATTTAAAAAAAAAAAAAAAAAAAAAAAAAAAAAAAGAAAACAGTACAAATGTTTTCGCGTGCTAGGAGGATGTTAAAACCCTAAGTTTCATTTCTGTGCCCGATACTTCCTCCACCTTGGGGTCCTTCCTAGGAAGAATTCTGAGAAGTGAGGAGGGAGGACCTAAGCCACCATAGACTTGGAACCCGGTCTGAAGTTAGACAACACCTTCAGGGCTTCACTTACCCTCCTGTCATTCGCATAAAAAATGATAGGGTTCCTGGTGCCACTTTTAACAGCAGGAATTTCAGGTCCTATCCTGGGAATGCTGTCATCCGCAACAAAGATGCCTCTAACAGATCCTGGTGGGAACTGTCTGGGTTTATCCTAATCGAATGCTTGATTATCAGCATCATGTCTTCTGAGAGCAGGTCTTGAGGCCATTTTCAGATGTGAGGTTTCCCATCTCTTTTTTTTTTTTTTT